TGCATATGTAAGTTAAAAATAAGATATCTAAGAGATCATCTCCTGAAATATTTTAAAGCCATGGGCAGATTAGGCACTATTTGGCCATTCATGCAAAACAAAGTATTTGGTAACTCAAAACAAAACAAAAAACCAGAAACAAAGTGACGAGACCAAAACTTCTCAATATTCCTCCTAGCACATAGCATAACCTTGGTCAAGCTCTATCCCCCAGAGCACTGCTCTTTAGAGCTTACATTTCATGTCAAGAGCTTACGTTTAATTTTGTCACAAGAATTAGGAAAGGTAAATCATAACAGTTATCCGACACCCATCAGGTGCCCAGTAAGAAATACTTCTTATGTAGTCGCTTTCAATATACACCAATTACGTACCTGTACAAGTGTGAGCTCCCCGTCTCTGGGTAAGACAGAAGGTAAGAAGATCGAGAGGGCTCTCCACGGTTCCTGTGTCTGACAGAAGCTCTGGGCCATGCTGGGTGCTGGGAAGCGTGGGCAGGGCAGGGCCTGCTGACTGCCATGTCCCCGCAGCGGCTGTGGAGGCTTGCGTCCTGCATGGGCTTCGGCGGCGGGCGGCCGGCTTCCTACGCAGCAACAAGATCGCAGCTCTCTTTATGAAAGTGGGCAAGAGCTTCCCACCGGCTGAGGATCTGAGCCGCAAGGTGCAAGACCTGGAGCAGCTGATCGAGAGCGCGTGAGTGCAAAGCATGGGGCGCAGGTGGGAGCAGCTTCTCAGAGAATAGTCCACAGTCCTCTCTGGGCCCCAAGAGAGCCTGCACCACCCATCACTCTCTTTACTCTCCATCCTGCTCCTTAAACCCACCAGACTCTTTCCCACCCCGGGGTCTTTGCATGTGCCGCACCCTCCACCAGGCTCACCCATCTGATTGTCTGTAGCTGCTTTCTTGTCATTATTCAGACTTTGCGTTAGCTCAGAAAATTCCAGTCCTCACCTCATCTTCTCTTCCGTATCACCCTGTTTATTTTCCTCCCAGTTGTTATTGATTGGCCATCTGTAGTTACTCATGTAAGGTTTATTTGATTGTTTTCTGTCTGTCCCACTTGATGCTGAACCCCATGAGAGCAGGCAACTAGATCTGTTTTTCCCCATTATGTCCCAAGCATCTGGGACAGTGTCTAGAACCTAGCAGATGCCCAAGAAACAATTGTTGAGTGAGTGCCTACTGGGAGCCAGCCACAGCCTGTTCTAAATGCAGTGTAAACAAAGTTTGATGGAACCAATATGGACTCTGTCTGCATGGAAGCTGCCCACCTTGTCCCCACTTGCCATCAACTGGCTCCCCATCATATCACTGTCTGATATGACGCAAGGGCCCCATATCAATAGGCATATTATATCACATTCCAATACACTGATGAGAAGTTTAAAAAAACCCTCATATTAAAGTAACCTTTGAAGGGGAGAGGTGGCTTCCCTCCCTTGTCGTGGTGGCTGGTGCTGTGTGTTGCGGGGAGGCTCATGGACGGAGTGCGTGCGTGTGAGCACCTTCAGCCAGAGCCACTCCCTGGGAGGTCCTGACTGTACAGCCAACCCCCCTGTCCACAGCCTGGTCAGGGATGACAAATTTGGTTTCAACTCCTGGCAACAAATGTGATGCTGGTGGCTTCCCAGATGAATGTGCTGTGATTTTGAAGCTGTGATCGGGTGTCCTGGGGAAAAGCACATGGACTGATTGGTCATATCTGTCAAGGGCAAAGGTGGGGAAGACGCAAGCATGTCAGATGTTTGCAGTCTCTGCTGTGGGTGGTCACTCCACTTCACTGGATGAGAATGGCCCTTTTCTTGGCTCTCAGGCCCTGCCTGCCCAGGGCTACTGGCCAGAACTGTGTGGTGGTCAGAGCCCAGGATTTGGCTCTGCCAATTCCCATTTGGAATAACTTCTCAGCCAGCTGGTCTTTGGGTACCTTCCAGTGCATCTGCTAAGTTCCCAGGTGTTTGCAGATAACTTCTTAAAGGGTTAGATTTGTCGTGGGCCTTCCACAACACTGGGAGTGACCGTCTAATGGAGGAATTAGAGATGCATTTATTCATATATGCAATCATTCATTCATGAATGTTTACTAAGCCTCCTGTATACGTGAGCCACTATGCTGGGCCCTGGAGATACAGACATGAAGAGGGCCCATGCTTGCCACATGGCAGCCTCTCAATATTTTATTTTTTAAAAAATGAGTTGCCTATTTCATATCCTCAAGATGACAGTGTGGAGGGGAAGACAGAAAAGTGAGCAGGGAGTTCAGCTGCAGAGGCTGACGGCACAGACCAGCTTTGGTTGGTCCAAGAGGGCTTCCTGTATGTAGGAGGAGAAGCCCTCTCTGAGACCTGAGGAGTGAGAGGGATCCGCCTGGGAGTGGGTGGGGAGGGAACCAGGAAGAAGCAGCAGCCCAGGGAAAGGCTTCAGATGAGATGCTGGTGGCCTCAGACATCTGCACATATCTCCGTCTGGCTGAATCATGGAGTGAGAAGGGTTAGTGGTAAGGAGATTGTTGGAGAGGTGAGTGGGGCAAGGTCTTGGAGCTCTCTGCCTACCATGTTGAAGAGCTTGCTTCCCAAGGGCACTGGGGAGCCACCGAAGGATCTACACTTGAAGACTCTTGGCTAGCACTTCTTTCCAGGAGAGAGAGGTGAGGGGGTATCAATATGAGAATCTGGCTTCCTCATTGGCAGTGTAGGAAAGTGTCTGTTTAACCACATCTGCACACTCACCTGGTATTATTATTTTTTCAACTCCTGACCAGCTTGCTAGCAGCAATGCGGGCTCTTGTTGTTTAGCTGCCATTCCTTCATTTCCCCAAGAGAATCTCTCATTTGCCTATTGGTCCTGTGGATTTGCTGTTGTATCTATTCCCCTCCTTTATTGGTCTTGAAGGAGAAACCAGATCCAGGGCCTCCAGGAGAATGTGCGGAAGCTGCCAAAGCTGCCCAACTTGTCCCCACTTGCCATCAAGCATCTGTGGATTCGCACGGCCTTGTTTGAGAAGGTCCTGGACAAAATCGTGCATTACCTTGTGGAAAACAGCAGGTGAGAGGGAAAGACCAGACACCTGACCATACTCTGCCGCCACCTGTTGGCCGTCATGGGAATTGCACCCCCAGCACAAGCTGCTTTCTTTTTTACCTTGACAGCCACTAAGTTTGAAAATGATTAAATGCTTGGAACCTTGGGAAGATTCATGAGCTTAATGGCAGTGCATAGGGATCCTGGGTTTCTTCCTTCTCCTGTGGATTACTCCACCCAATAACTGTGTGGCCCTAGAGAATCGCTTAGCCCCTCCGTGCCTATTGTCTCTTTTGGTAAATGGCATGGAGATTCCTGATACTCCCAAAAAGTGAGAAGGGAATTTGGTGAATATTCAGTGTTTTGCAAATGCATGGTGAGCCTTTTCACATTTTCTCCACTAGCTTAATCTGATGTGAAAGTTTTATAGTACAAGCCCTCTCGTAAGCATTCATCCATGCATTCATTCATCCAGCAAATATTTAGTGAGCGTCTGCTGTGTACTGGCTCCAGCCCAGATGTCAGGGATACATTGGTGATGCCTGTCATGTTATAGAGCTTGTACATCATCTTAAGAGCAGCGAGGAGCCATGGAAAAATTTATTATGATGCACCTCATGGCCAATATGCCTCTCCCGCCCCCAAGAGGTGGCAGGAAGGGAGAGAGAGAGAAAGAGAAATATCTCAGAATCTCCCCATCTTTCAGAATATGAAAGTGCTGGATTAACCACATCTTTACAAAGCGGATGCTTTTATTAATAGTCTTTGCCCCTTTGCAAGGAAAATCTCCATGAAAGTGGAGAGAAAAGTCCCTCTTCTCATGAAGTTCACGTGCTTGCAAGGAAAACCAGCTTACACAGTCATGGTGGTAATATGTGATGGGTGTTCCAAGGGAGTGTGGTGGTGTTTCATTTTCTCCCGGTGGTCAGGGAAAGTGTCCCAGATGGTGCAACCATTAAGCTTCCATTTAAAGATGATGGAGGCATCAGCCAGGTGATGGGATGCGGAACAAACTGTTTCTGGTGGAGGAAATACAGGTGCAGAGCCTCGTGGCAGGAGAGAAACTGCAAGAAATCCGAGCTCTGGATCTCCAAGCGGGGGGATCACTTGAGCCCAGGAATTCAAGAGCAACCTTGGAGACATAATGAGACCCTGTCTCTACAAAAAATTAAAAAATTAGCCAGTTGTGGTGGTGCATGCCTCTGGAGCCAGCTGATCAGGGCTGAAGTGGAAGGATCATTTGAGCCCAGGAGTTTGAGGTTACAGTGTGCTTTGATTGTGCCACCGCACTCCAGCCTGGGCAACAGAGAAAAACCTTATCTCAGAAAAGAAGTCTTTCTGTCAGCCCTATGAACTATATTATTATTATCCCCATTTTACAGATGGGGCAGCTGAGGCTCTGGGTGGTAACTAAATTGACACTTGGGATTGAACTCTGGTCTGTGGATTGTATGCCCTCTGCTGGTCCCCATCCAAACCTGCATATTTTCTCCTCTTGCTAGCAAATACTATGAGAAGGAAGCTCTCCTGATGGACCCTGTGGATGGCCCCATCCTTGCGTCTTTGTTGGGTAAGTAGTCCTGTGCACTGAGCTTCATTTAGACTCTTGGTCTTGAGTCTCAGGGGCACCTTCTCAGGGACTCTCTCACCCCTGTCCAGCCTCACCCATTGAAATGCAGCACTGTCCTAGCTGGCTGGAGGGGAGGGTAGTGAGATGGGCAGCCACCTGGTGGTCAGTGAGTGGGAGGACTTTCCGTGACAGTGGGTTCCCAGCCCCCACGTGCCCCTCAGTGGGGCCCTGTGCCCTAGAATACACCAAGATGAAGACTGCAGATCACTTCTGGACCGACCCCTCGGCTGATGAACTTGTCCAGAGGCACCGCATTCACAGCTCCCACGTGCGTCAGGACTCGCCCACCAAGCGTCCTGCCCTCTGTGTGAGTGGGGTGGACAGTGGGGCTGTGTGTGGGAGGGACCTCACATGGGGGCAGGAAACGGGGTAGGAGCCCTCAGGGTCACTGCAGGCCTCATCCCTCTATCTCCCCTCATGCTCTACCAGATCCAGAAGAGGCATTCCAGTGGCAGCATGGACGACCGGCCATCTCTCTCTGCCCGCGACTACGTGGAGTCCCTGCATCAGAACTCCCGTGCCACCCTGCTCTATGGCAAAAACAACGTGCTGGTTCAGCCGGTGAGAGGCTATCGTGGGCCCAGCTCTTGCCCTGAGGGTCTCACTCCAGGCTGTAGAGGAGGAAGTCCCTCTGGTTCCAGGTTGCCAGTCCATTCTCCATCTGTCCACTCACCCATGCACAGATCCACCCAGGCAACACTTATTCAGTTGTCCATCTATATTTACACCTGCCCGTCCTTACATCCATCCATCCATCCACCCACCCATCTTTACTTTCATCCATCCACTCATATTTACATTTCATATATCCGTCCGTCCATCCGTCCGTCCGTCCGTCCGTCCGTCCGTCCGTCCGTCCATTTATTTTCCCACCCATCTCTCCACTCACCTGCATCCCCAGGCTCCTGTCTGCTCACTGTCTTCTCACTCACTGATTTCCGCAAAGATTTCCATGGACCGGCTATGTGCTGGGTGCATATGATGTCAAGATCTTCATTCTCATGGCCAGTATTTCTTGATGCTTCCTACACGTCAGGCACTGGGCAAAGTGTTTTCTACTGTATTAGCTCTTAAACTTCCCAACGACCCTTTGAAGCAGGTACTGTTTTTACAGTCCTCAGTTTATCAGATGGTGATACTGAGGCCTGGACAGGGGAAGTAAGGTGCAGACAGTTATGATTTGAATTCAGGCCAGCTGATGCCAGAGTGAGTGCCATCCTTCAGTCACCTTCTCTGCCCCATGACGCGGCTGGGCTCCAGGGATGAGTGGTAGGCGAGGCATATGCGGTTCCTGACTTCATGCAGTGTCTCCTTCGGCTGTCCCCTGCCCGGGGCCATTTGGTTGCATGGTCATTGTGGTGTTTGGGAAAACCATCAGCCACTTCATCTCTGCAGCCACAGTTTTCATCACTGGGTGATGTTGAGCAAGTCACATTTCCCTCCAAGCCTCCGTATCTGCGTCACAGTGGGTCCAAAACCCTATTGCCACAAATCTAAGAAGCCAAAACACTAATTTAAGACATACCGTTTCTTAACATAATCTCAAACAATTCAAAATGCTATTTAGATTATATACAATTTTTTTTTTTTTTTGCTACTTAGAAATTTTAGCCTATACTTTTCGAAAGAGGTCTTTGAAACTTATATGGATGTAGTTTTGTTCTTTAATCTATATCACTTTTACAAGTAACACAAAGGGAAAATATCATTGAAATACATTAAGATAGTCTTCAAACTTCTTCAATTCAGAGTTCCATCTTCTCTATCACTTTTTGACTTGGGAGTCATCAGTGCCCGCATTTTTCCATACATCATTTTCTGTTCCATCAAGAGAAGGAGTTGGCAATCATCCGGGGGCCAAATGTGGCCCTCCACTTGTTTTTACCAATCAAGTTTTATTAGAACACAGCTACAACCTATGACTGCTTTCAGGCCTTGCCGGCAGAGTTGAGTGGTTGCAGCTGAGCTTGTGTGGCTTCCAAAACCAAGAAATATTCCCTGTTTGTCCCTTTACACAAAACGTTTGGTGGCCCCTGACCCAGCAGCACAGGAAATACAGCATTTCTTGCAAGAATGTCCACTCTCATCTCAGGAATGTTTTTTTTTCTTGAGACGGAGTCTCGCTCTGTTGCCCAGGCTGGGGTGCAGCAGTGTGATTGCAGCTCACTGCAAATTCTGCCTCCCAGGTTCAAGTGATTTTCCTGCCTGAGCCTCCTGAGTACCTCTTCCCACTTAAACCTGGCCAAGATAAATGTCTTCTGTTTTGAAAAGCGTGATTTTCAGTGGGGCAGAGCCTCCTTCCTGGTTCTTAAGGAACCTGGGGTCAGGGATGCTTGAGCTCAGGAGGAAGTCATGAGTGTGGAAGTGGTGGGGGTGGGAGGCTTTCTCCAGCTGGATGATGTAGAACCCATCCGGGAGGCTGGCTGCAAATGGCTTTGCTTAGCATGGCCATCTGGAAGGAAGCTTAGGGTCCTCCAAGTGGCCAGGGCCTTGGAGGGCTTAACCCAACCTCTTAGTTCCGATTAGGTGTACTTGAGTCACATGGGCTGGGACCTATGTCCACAGCGACTCCAGCACCATGGCTAGACCTGAGTCCTCCTCTCTCTGCAGAGGGACGACATGGAGGCTGTGCCAGGGTACCTGTCCCTGCACCAGACGGCTGATGTCATGACCTTGAAGTGGACACCCAACCAGCTGATGAACGGGTCTGTGGGGGACCTGGACTATGAGAAGAGGTAGGGCACTGGGTCTGCTCTGCATCCCGTGGGTCCCTCCACTCCCCTTGGCACAAGGAAGCTCCTCCCCTGGGGAAGGGAGGCTTGCATCTCACCCTGCTTCTGCCCGCTACTCTGCCTGGCTGTTAGGGCCCCTTGGCTCAGCCTCCTGGGAAACTCAAAGGCTTGGGAGAATCTGGAAACCAACTGGAAGAGTCCTAGGGCATGGGAGTTGGCAATGCCGGGGAAAAAATCCAGAGGGAGAAATCTTTATGAAGCTCTCCTACGCCTGCAAATGGCAAATATTCTTCAGTCTCTGTCCTCCCTTCCGTCACTCAGTAAAACATGAAGGCGGGAGGTATTAGCGAGTATCTGGTCCAGGGCTGTGTCTCCCATGAAATCCTGGGATTTATAAGACCCAGCAAAGGCTTTAGAGTCATGCTTGAAAGAAGTGCTGGGACAGGGGATTCCCTGCTGCAGTGCCTGGGCTCCAGCTCAGTTAGGGAAGACTGCAGGAGGAACAGAGAAAGCCATGGTGCGGAGGTGTGGCTGGTTCCAGTATTTCAGGCTGAGGAGCCTCGGCTGCTGGTGGGGAGGAGAAGCAATGGTTCTTGCTGCTCCGAGTCCACATCTCGTCTTAATTTTCTTTTACATTTTATTGCTTTCCTAAAAAACCTTTTTACAATGAAGCATTTTTAACCTAAAGATAGACAGAACTCAGGTACCCATCACCCTGCCCTCATGGCCACAAACCCATTCCCTCCTCCCCAGGAGTCTGAAGCAAGAGGCAGACATGATATGATTTCATCTGTAAATATTTTAATGTACATCTCTAAGAAAATAAGGACTCTTTTCAAGAAGCATCACCAGAAGGCTATTACTGTGTTCTGTTTAATGTGAAGGCTTGGTGTGGTTAACACCAGACTTTGGAGTAATTACAAGTGTTCTCGGTTGGACGTGGTGGCTCATGCCTGTAATCCCAGCACTTTGGGAGGCTGAGGTGGATGGATCATGAGGTCAGGAGTCCGAGACCAGGATGACCAATATGGTGAAACCCCATCTCTGCTAAAAATACAGAAATTAGCCAGGTATGGTGGTGCACGCCGGTAATCACAGCTACTCAGGAGACTGAGGCGGAAGAATTGCTTGAACCCAGGAGGCGGAGGTTGCAGTGAG